AATTGCATTATCGTGCATTTCATGTATATTCATTAATTTCCGCTCTAAATTGTTCTACCATAGAACGCATTTTATCAACTAAATCTTGTAATTCTCTTTCTTCCTCTGTTTGTTCGAGACTACTTAGTTTCCAGTACTCCTCTGCTTTAGATTTATATTTCTGTTCATATGATGGTCCTGAATACTCATACTTTGTTGTTTCTTGTACTATAATTCATTAGAAAATCTATTCATCATTAATAAATTTTTAAACGTCTATTGAACTTCACCCAAAGATGTTACCCCCTAAATATTTTTAATTCTCTTGATTGTTTTTCAATCAAGAGAATTCATGATTTTTATGAATTCTATTAGAAGCAAAAGAAGATTATCCATTTATGATCAATCACCTGATGATGTTTGGAGCACTTTTACAATACACAACCAATTCAGAAACCAATTCAAGGTACAAAACGTTCAAGCAAGATCAACAAATAATGAATGCTTCTTATATAACTGTATATTCATCACCATTACAACTAATAGTGCCATTTATTTTTCGAAAACAAACAATAAATTTCTATACTCAGATTGTTCATTTACTAACTGCAGCAGTAATACAAATGGTGGATCTATATACTTTAACTGTGATAGTTCAATTGTTCAATACCGAACATGTGGCTATAAATCAAAAACAAACTCCTGGGGACATCATTCATATGTTTGGTTAGTTTCTAAATCAAAATAATAAAAATTATCTTTATGAAAGTTCTTTTTATGAATGCGGAAATTTAGAAAAAAATGAGAACAAATTATCTTTGGTATGGAAATATTGAAGTTAAATCAATCAACACAAGTTTCTGTGAAGCAGACTATGACTCAGGAATATATTTAGGTTATCCAACAAGTCTAAGTAATGTAACATATTCATCATTTTGTAACACAACATCAAATAATTTAATTTTAAATTTAATTTATGGTAACTATAATTTTAATTTTTGTAATGTTTTGAATAATGAACACAAAAAATCTGATTATGGAACATTCTGGGCAGTTGATTCAACTGTTCTTATTGAAAACTGTTCATTTTCTGGAAACACAGGATCAGGAGTAGAATTTTATCAAGATAGTTCTGGTTCAATTACTGTTAAAGATTCTTTCTGTGACAGAATAATAGATAAAACAAAAGGATCAGTTACAACAAATAATGTTGAAAATACATCTTCTATTCATAATCTTTCTCACTTTTCATCATATCTGTGTGAAGTTGATTATCCTATTTTAGATTTAGAGATAAGAAGAATATTATCACAAAATATGAAATTATTTATCATTATTCATATCATTTCATTACTTCTCTTTGTATTGTTTAGTAAAATCATAAAATTAATTAAATATACTGTTTATTTGCAGAATCAGTTCATTAATTTAAAATATTTACGTTATTTCCTCCATTCGTCTTCCTCCGGTTTAAATTCTGAAGCAATAGGCAGGCAGTTATGATATATTAATGCTACCATAATGCTTATTCAGAGAAATAATACATTTAAGTGTTAAAAATACGAAATATCACTTTTATTTGCAAAGAGAACGAAATTCTGTATAACTTGTTGTCAGAACTGAAATCTTATTCTAATTTATATCATCTCATTCATTTAACATTTTCTGTGATTAAAATGCATAAATGGTAAGATTATGAATAGTATTTTTTAATATGAAATAAATACACACAATAAAAATTAATATAAAAATATATTTTTATTTGTCTAAAGATGAATCAAAATTTGTTTGTTGAATATTCTAAGATCAAACAAATATTTAGATGTTGGCATGCGACGCCAAAATTCGATTGATGAAGTAGAATATAATTTAGAAAGACCTTTGTGATCGAAGTGATCGGTAAGTAATGAATCCAAGCCAACAATGTATGGGTCAATCATGTGACGAATGAATAATTCGGTCGAGTGGTCGTTGTCAAGACGATCAACTTCGATACCATGGTTACTAATCATGAATGCTTGAATAATACTGTAACTGAATTCAACATTGTAGTTAGTCAAGATGAAACTAGACCAGATAAGTTGAAGTGTGACACATAATGCACGGATCTGTTTAGGACGTTCAAGGATGTCAAACATGTTAAACCAACTTCGTTCAAGATATTTGTCGATGTTATCAAGAACTTCTAAGTTACATGTTGGAAAAATACTAAAATCACAACCACGTGAACCAAGATTCTTGTAACGAATGTATGTAGTCTCTTGTTCAACAAACCGACGTGAAAATGTGAATTCGTCAACACCAAAATCGTATTCGGAACAATCGACGTTCTCAAGAGGTGTTGACAATGATAAAAGTTGACGCATTTTCTCAAATGCTGGTTTGATAATACCGAAAAAGCGTGGTGATTTTCGTTCATAGCGTTGAAAGAGATTTGTGGTGTCAGAGATAATGGAAATATTGTTTTTGCTAGAACGGTGAAGAACTGGATGACGAAGGTCAACAAATGATAAGATTTGACATGAAATATCAACAATATCACAAAACAGTGTCATCTTGGACTTTTTAAGATTCTTCTGCATACAAAATGTGATGTAAAGGGTAACTAAACCAAGTGCACGAACTAAACGTGGATTAGATGTGTATTCCATAACGTGTGGAATGCATCGTTGACCAATTCGGTCGGAATCTTCAATAAGTTTATGAAGAATTTCGTCTTGTTCAAGAGACAATGGGATATCAAAATGTGTTTCTTCGTTTTCTTTTGAACATTCTTGACATTTGATTCAAGGTCCTCAATATAAAATGAAATTTGTCAATAGGTTCAGAAAAATGATGAACAAAGCGATGAATAAATAAATATGTATAAAAAACGGTTTCTCGAATATTATCAAAATGGATACTTTCGTTGAAGTTGTATAATATTCCTGAAATATGATCGTTTGCAATAGATTTGTCGCATGTGTCAACAAACAAATCATTACAAAAAATTTTGTAAAGACCCAATATTTTGAATATGCTGATTCAAACTTGCCAAGATGAAAATGACAAATAGCCGAGTTTTTAATTGTCTCGTAATCATCTGGTTTTCTGTGTTAATGCCAAATCGTTAATATGTTGTGCAATTTTCAATTCACCGATATCAAACAAAAAATCAGCAGTAACACGTAAAAGAAAGAATGTAGGAGAAATTTCGACTGCGCGAAGAATATGTTTGCGTGCTTCTTGTGTGAAATAATATCCTTTAGATCGTAAGATTAAATAATGACAATAATGTTTCCGGTGATCATTGTCAATTTGGCATCGTTCGATTGCATCGCTAGCTCGAAGTATGTCACCAACGGAATAAAGACATTCAGCAATGTAAAGCCAAATACGATCTGTGTAACATTGTTCTGGAACACTCTTGAAGTCTTGTAATGCAAGTGAATACAAACCACGTGACATGTGCATCTTACCTCGTTCTGCAATAGACTCGAAGTCTGTTGGTGATTAAGGATAGCTTTGCTGATCTTAGAAATAGCTTCAAAGACATGTCTTGTAGATGCTAATGCGATCGAAAGAAATTTTAATGCATCTGTTTCGATTTCTTGTGGAAATTCTCGGTCAAGATCTTCAATACACTTAGTCCAGCGACCGGACAAGCAGTACGCAATTCCACGACCTCGGTATGCTTCCAAGTTGTTAGGATCTTTATCGAGTATAAGTGAAAAGTATGTTAATGCAGATGCCAAACTGTTGTTTCGAAGTTCAGAGTATGCCGTGTCGATGTCGTAATCTGATAAGTTGATTTCTTGATCGAAATTGATGTATGTGTCTATGATGTATGGAACATCGAACTTATGTTTCAAAATATTCGCTCGTAAGTTTTGATTTTTGAATTAAACTATTAATAATGCTTGCGTCTTTCACGTCAATAAGAATATTGATGCAGTACACCATATTTTGATTGCTTCTTGCTCGTTATTCATCCAGAGGTGAATAATTCCTTGAATGTAGTACAAAGTCCAATATTTTTCGATATCTTTTGTGTTTCTGCACATTTCTTGAGCGCTGCGCGTACAGATTCTAAATGTAGAAGACAAAGAGCTAATTTGAGATTGACCAAGACGTATTCGGCTGCTGTATTCGCTTGTCGTTGCTCTAAATCGAGAACATCCATAAGATTTGATACATTGCCTCTCTTCAATTCGGCTGATACATCGTGAAGAGAAGCAAAATTCATCAACGATATTCTGCTGAATGAAAATCTTGATAAAATATAGAATTGTAATATATAAATACTATTCCTTTTTATATAAATTTGTTCATTTAGCTCATTTTTTTTTCCCTTCTCCATTTTTTTTTCAAACATTCATTTGGAATAGGTGAGATCACACTCTGGCCAGTTGCGTTATGCATTTAAGTAAATAAGACAATCTGAAAGATATCTAAAAAAACATTTTACAATTGGTCCGGTTCAAGGAGTTAAGAGACTTTCTAATCAATATTTTTATCAAATCATGGTTGTGTTGCTTCTTGTTAGGCAAAATCTGATATTTTTATTGAAGTTCAATATTTACTTGAAAATTGGGATTAAAAGGATCAATACAATACAAACCAATATGAGTGAGTCTTATACTTACCATTCATTTTAGTTTGAAAGCCAGGAAATATGGTTTGATTCCAACTAGCTAAGAAATCTAATCAAATGATATATTCAAATGACATACATCAATAAGACATTGAGATGTCAACCATAATCATATCTGAACGCAAATTTTTTCATTAAAATTTCATTTTCTTTAAGTAGTCTTTCTTTATTTATCGCAATGATAAGCCAATTCAACAACTTAGCATATGTTGGTCATATTGGATGGAGTGCACATATATTTTATATAATTCTTTATATTTGTGTGTTCACTAGAGACGTTAGCTACCATGATATATTCCATCGTACATTATATATAAATAGACAATAAATACCATGAAAATATAATATTTTAAAGATATTTTCCATGGAAATCGGAGATATTTTTTTATTTTATGGCTGAATATTTAAAATTTTGTTCATTGGCGTTCAAACACATCTAACCTAATACAATTTCATTAAGCGATTTATTAGTTCGATTGATGTCGGAATTGAGAATATCGTTAATTTTACGTCATTTTTTATCCAAGAATTGAACTTTATTTAAAATATTTACAAACTTTGCTTACTAATGAAAATCCTATACCGACCAACCAAAAAGTCGTTGCATGATTACATAATTCTGAGCCCCAATCAAAAGTGAAATGAAAATCAAACATGAGTTAGAATCAAAACTCCAGCCAAATCAGAAGCATTTACATCTAGATACATCTCCCAACAATATTTGGGTGATGTTTTATCCAGATACAACAAATCCCGAACCAATTTCAGGTACAAACAAAGGTGTTACAAATGAAGGAGATTGCTTCATATACAATAGTATGTTTTTCAATTTACTTCGAAAACTGCTATTTATTTCCTAAATAATAACATGTTTAAATTTCTCATCTCTGATTGTATTTTTTCGAACTGTAGCTCTCCGAATCATGCTGGAGCAGTTCAAATTACAGGGAGTGGTTCTGTTGTTCAATATAGATCTTGCTGCTATAAATCAATAAATAGGCTTCCCACAAATTCTGAAAATGGACATCATTCCTATATCAAATTAGATTCTTTCAATTATATAAATTATATTTTTGACTGTTCATTTCATTCATGTGGTAATATTGAAAATTCCCATACCAATTATCTTTATAACGGAGATATTGAAGTTAAATCAATCAACACAAGTGTATGCAAGGCCCAATATAGTTCAGGTATTTACATTATGTCAAATAATGTTCTTTGCAAAATAAAACAATCATCATTCTATAACACAACATCTACTAATGACATATTTTGTATCGACAAATTGCATTTTGCTTTTTGTAATGTTTTGAAAAATGAAGTTCAAAATGGTAAAGGAATATTTATGTTATTCAATCCGCAGTTATCGAAAATTGCTCAATTCTTTGCAACTCAGGCAAATTTTTCATACTGACATTGATACTATACATGTTAAAAATGTATTTTGCGACAAAATGAATGGATTATGATATGTATAAAATAGAGAATATTTGGAAACATATATCAATTATATCACAATCATTATTCTTCATATCTATGTGAAGGTCAATATCATAATCATAAAGAAGATACAATAAATAAAAAAGCCACTGAATCATTTCTGCAAATGAGTTTCTCAATTAGAAGATTGAGAGTATAAGAAATAGAAATCAGGAACATTTTTAAGAATACAAATCATATACATCTCTCATTGTTCTTCTTTAACTTATAAACTAGTTTATTGTGATATGAATTGCATAGATTTCAAGATAATGTAAATATTTTTTTGTAAGGAATCATAATGCATTTATTTGATCTCCTTCGGGAAGCCTTCGATCAGGATTTTCATTGCGTTGTGCTCAGCATCAGGAAAAAAGGTGAGTGATTCTAAAACATATATTCACATGATAATATTTATTTCATATTAAAAATGTTAATGTTTTGATATGTTATTTAGCATTTATGAGGTGCTTATTAACATCATCTATTTATATTTCAGTAGTCATGATAGTGGAAATAAAATCGCCTTCAAAAACAATGAATTATTTTTTGAAAAATTAATAATAAGATAAATCTATAAAAATTAATGGTTAAATGAATGTTAAAAAAGAATAGGAGATTATTATCAAATATATATAGGTTTACTTATTAATATAATTTGCAAATATTCGGAGTTCAAAATACTGGATATCCAGCTTTGACCTTTTCATTGTATTCAGCAACAATACGCTCAACAACAGTCTTTGCGGATGTAATATCCTTGAATAAGGAAGCAATTTGTCCAATTTCGAGTTCTCCTTCCTTCATATCACCAAGGAACATTCCCTTCCTTGATCTTCCTCTTCCAAGTAAATCGCTTAATTCTTTGTAAGAAGCACCACGATCTTCGAAAGATTTGACTTGTTTGTAGAAATCGTTCTTGATAAGACGTGTTGCGACAATCTTCTTGAGAGAAAGCATTGTATCGCCTTCTTTGAGGCTTGCGCAAAGCTTCTTGAAGTTTTCATGAGCAGAACTTTCTTGTGTCATAGCAAAAACGAGTTCCAACTTGAATACCTTCAGCACCAAGGGCCATAGCAGCTAACATGCCACCTCCTGTGCCAATGCCGCCTGCAGCAATTAAAGGAATATCAACTGCCTTGCGAACATGAGGGATTAATGTCATTGTAGATGTTTCTTCTGCACCATTGTGACCACCTGCCTCGAAACCTTCAGCAACAACAGCATCTACGCCTGCTTCTTGTGATTTAATTGCAAATTTACTGCTTGAAGTAACGTGAACGACCTTAATTCCGTTGTTTTTAAGTGTTTTAGTCCATGTCTTTGGATTTCCTGCTGATGTGAAGACGACAGGAACTTTATTATCGATAATAATTTTCATTACTTTCTCAACTTCTGGCAACATCATTGGAACATTGACACCAAATGGCTTATCTGTAGCTGCTTTGCACTTCTTGATATGTTCTGAGAGAAGATCTGGAGTCATACTGCCAGATCCGATTAATCCGAGGCCTCCTGCGTTAGATACAGCAGAAGCAAGCTTCCAGCCACTGCACCATACCATGCCACCTGAAATGATCGGGTATTTGATTCCGAATAACTTGGTGATTCGATTAC